ACTATTTTTCAACGTTGATTTAACATCATGTGCTATCTGGGTATTTACTTGGTTGTGCTATAAAATGGCGTTATGTGTCTGGAAAAAACATAATGCTGCCCCTTGAATAGTCATTCTACCATAAAATTGGATGATTCAAATACATCATTAAAATGCATTCATTGCCATTATGAGTGCATGGAAACTTTTGAGCAGTGTTGCTGCTGCAAAGTTATCTGCTTGCTAAAAGTAATGTCTCCATGTGTTTGTCCTGTTTTTCTACAGATCTAAAAGCAGTGCACAGCCACCCTTTTACACTCATCTGCTACCTTCTCTGAGACTGCAGTCTATGGGTGTCACCATGGGGACGAATGGTTTCCTCTTCAGCTGCCTCACCACAGCTGTACTGATCCAACTCTCCACCGCCGGCCTGGTCAAGACGGTCATCCGCCACCGGAGGGAGACCCTGATGCCCAAGAAAACCCAAGAGAACCTGACTCTCCCTCATCCCGACCAGCCTGTGGTGTTCAACCACGTCTACAACATCAACGTCCCCTCCACCTCCCTCTGCTCTGTGGACCTCGACTCGCCTGGAGGGGGCGGTGTCAAGCACAAGAGCGCCTCGATGGACATGCAGAGCACCGAACACATGGAGCACACCGTCGATGGCGACAACCAGATCGTTTTCACTCACCGTATCAACATCCCCAAACAAGCCTGTGGCTGTGACAACCAGCTGCCGGACATCAAAGACATCCTGAACAGACTGGAGATGTTGGAGTCTGAGCTGTCTAGTCTGAGGGAGCAGTGCACCAGTGGAGCCGGCTGTTGTGGAGCTCAGGCTACAGGTACGTCTGCAGCTTTCTAATACTCAAACCAAGATCAAAGATTGCCATTAAGATTAAGTGATAGAGCAACAACGCCACCCACTCCACCCGACTGCCTGCGAACATGACCCCCTGCCTGTCCCTCTCCACTGTCCATTATGTTTGATGAAATCCCTAGAACTGAAATAACAGGACAATAAAGCACCAACAATCAGACTAATCAAAAGAATCTGTCAAATACTTCTGCACCACTGGCTCTGAATGAAATACTTGTGAGCTTCAGTTCAACCTGGACCAGCAAATGGTTGAACTTATTCACAGGTAGATAATCTGTGAATAAGGTAACATTGCTCTGATACTTTCTGACAGCTCAGGTACATTTGTGTATTTCAGTCTTTGCTTTGTGTTGGCAAGGCAAGTTTGTGTCTAACGCATATCAGCAACAAAACAATTCAAGGTTTTTCACAAGATGAAAACATAAAACAACAAAAAAGCAAGAAACATGACATTATCCAACAATGTTCCACTTGTATACTGTTCCATAACAGTATACAACACCACCTGCTAGCTGCACCAGTGGGTTGTGCAGGTGACACATGATTTATTGTATTTTGTGCATTGCAAAAAATGCTTTGCATGCTGGAGCTGTCTGACCAGCTTTTATAGATCCCACCACTTTGTGTTGGTATCATTGCAGAGTATGGGGATTTCTCCAAACATGATGCCTTAACGTCATACCACAGAGTTCAATCTCTGTCTCATTAGACCAGAGAATGTTCCTGATGGTCTGAAATCATTCCGGTGTTGTTCCTAAACTCCAGACTTGCTGCCAGGAGCCTTTTATTAAGGAGTTGCCTTCATCTGGCCGCCTTACCATACAGGCTGATTGGTGGATTGCTGCAGAGATGGTTTTCCTTCTGGAAGGTTATCCTCTCTCCACAGATGAATCCTGCAGCTCTAACAGTGACCATCAGGTTCTCGGTCTCTTCTCCCCCGATCACTCAGTTCAGATGGCCGGTCAGCTCTAGGAAGAGTCCTGCTGGTTCCAAACTTCTTCCATTGACCAATGTTGGAGGCCGCAATGTTTGCATTATAATGTTTCTGGATCCTTCCTCAGATGTATGCCTCAATACAGTCCTGTCTCTGAGGTCTAGAGACAGTTCCTCTGATTTAATGCTTGCTGTTTGACCTCTGACTTTACATGGACAGGTGTATGCCATTCCAAACCAAGTCCAATCAACTGAATTTACCACAGACAGACTCCAGTTGAGCTGTAGAAACATTTGAAGGCTTATCAGAGATGACGCCGCAATATTGAGCTTTGTCAACAAACACTGGGAATACTAGTGGAAATGTAATTGTTTTTGTTTATTTTTAATAAATTTTCAAAACAATTCCATATTTCATAAAGCTGTATTTGTGAGGAAAGTGATTCATTTAATACAATTAGGAATAAGACTGTTGCATAACAACATGTGGAAAAAGTGAAGTGTTGTGATACTTTGATAGTACTGGTGCACTGTATGCACTACTTTTTGTTGGACACATAAAACAATGTGAGGCACTGTATGTGGACAGCAATAAAATGTATTTGATGCCCTAAAACGCTTCCCTAACCTAACCAATGATGGTCCAGTAGGAAAGAAAATGACGTTAAAGGAAGAGATAAAAAAACAGCAACTGCAAGTCCAAACCAGATAACCATTTTTACTGGTGATGTATCTTCTCCTAAGGGAGTCATCTGAATTTGTATCCTGACGTTAATGTGGATATCTGTAGAATTTGCTGTTGGCTTTACTATAGGTGCAGCCAACAGTTAGAGAAGTTCAGCTGGCAGGAAGCATCTGTAGAGGACAGAATGCATTAAAATGTCAGCATGAAACAAAGTGGAAATTACAATGTGTTCTAAGTTTGTACTTTGTCTTCTTTCTTTATGGATAATTGAACTTTGATTTTTTTTTAGTAAGCATGCAAAAAGCATAAAAAAACAACAACTAGGAAACGTAAATGAATTTGTTTTTGTGATTATGCATTTCTAGATGCTAAGCTATGCACCACTCGTTTATGTGTTTTGGATATATCATGAGGTATTTGCAAGTACAAGTCTGTAAAGTAGTTGGTCTGTTTGTCAGTAAAAAAAAAAATCAAAACATCCATGACATTTACAACCAGTGTGTGTAACTTGGGAAAACAGAAGGTTTTTCTTTTAAGCAACAATTCAGCAGATTTGAATCGGGCCTTTGTTTTAAGACTCTTGTTCCTTGGCTGGTCTTTGATTATAGTCTTCCCAGAGCAGGTTTCAGCAAAGGCTACTGGCAAACTCACCACAGCAAGCTGTCATGTTTGAGCAACTGACGTACTTGAATAGCTTTGAAATAAACTTCCTTTTTACTCGTCTTGTTTTCCATTAGGAGAGGTGTCTACAAAGCCATTCTGTAACGGACGTGGAAACTGGAGCACGGAGACCTGCAGCTGCTCCTGCGAACCCGGATGGAAGGGCCACAACTGCACGGAGCCGGAGTGCCCCAATGATTGCCAGGACCAAGGTCGCTGTGTGGATGGGAGATGTGAATGCTTTGAAGGCTTCAGTGGGGATGACTGTGGTGTTGAGCTCTGCCTGCTGGACTGTGGCGACTACGGTCACTGTGTTGAAGGGTCCTGTCTTTGTGAAGAAGGCTTCATTGGTGAAGACTGTTCTCAGACTAACTGCCTTAACAACTGCCTGGGTCGTGGGCGCTGTGTTGACGAAGAGTGCGTTTGTGATGAGCCATATACGGGCTTTGACTGCTCTGAGCTCATCTGTCCCAACGACTGCTTCGACCGAGGACGCTGCATCAATGGAACCTGCGAATGTGAAGAGGGGTTCACTGGAGATGACTGTGGAGAGCTCAGCTGTCCTGAAAACTGCAGCAAACATGGCAAGTGTGTGGACGGCCAATGTAAGTGTGAGATAAACTACGGTGGAGAGGACTGCTCAAAGCTTCTGTGTCCCCAAAACTGCAATGAGAGAGGCCATTGCTTTAATGGGAAGTGCATATGTGATCCTGGCTTTGAAGGTGACGATTGCTCAGTCCTCTCATGCCTTGACAACTGCAGCAACAGGGGTCAGTGCATTAATGGAGAATGCATTTGCGACATAGGATACGAAGGGGAAGACTGCAGTGAGCTCTCCTGCCCCAACAACTGCCAAGAACAGGGCCGCTGTGTCGATGGGCAGTGCATATGTGAGAAAGGCTTTGCAGGTGAAGACTGCAGTATCAAGACATGTCCTAAAGAATGCCATGGAAGAGGGGATTGCATAGACGGAAAATGTGTGTGTTTTGTGGGTTTTACGGGAAAAGACTGCAGCGAACTGACCTGCCCGAATGACTGCCTGGACCGCGGTCACTGTGTGGACGGCCAGTGTGTTTGCCACCAGGGTTTCACTGGTGAGGATTGCAGTGAGAAGACGTGCCCCAAGAACTGCCACAACAGAGGCCGCTGTGTAGACGGTCAGTGCGTTTGCCACCAGGGTTTCACAGGCGAAGACTGCCATGAGAAGACATGCCCTGAGAACTGCCATGACAGGGGGCGCTGTGTAGACGGCCAGTGCATTTGTCAGGAAGGGTTCACAGGTGAAGACTGCAGTGAGAAGACGTGCCCAAAGAACTGCCATGACAGAGGCCGCTGTGTGGACGGCCAGTGCGTTTGTCAGGAAGGGTTCACAGGCGAAGACTGCAGTGAGAAGACGTGCCCGAATAATTGCCACGACAGAGGCCGCTGTGTTGACGGTCAGTGTGTTTGTCACCAGGGTTTCGTTGGTGAAGACTGCAGTGAGAAGACGTGCCCTAAGAACTGCCTAGAGAGAGGTCACTGCAGAGACGGTGTCTGTGTATGTTATGAAGGTTTCACGGGGCTGGACTGCTCTGCGCTGAGCTGTCCAGAAGACTGCCACCACCAGGGGCGCTGTGAAAATGGAGTGTGTGTCTGTGACGAAGGCTTCATTGGAGAGGACTGCTCTGAAGGTAAGCTGGACCATGGATGTGTAGCTTTCCAAAAATATTTACATTTGTGAAACTCTTACAATCAGTTCTCAAACACAGAGTTCTTAAAAGCCCTTAAAGTAACAGTAGCATTATTTTTTCAGTAACAGCAAAAGACTATGTCAGAAGGATAGAAAGGAGATTTTTTAAATATAGTTAACACATATTAAGCATACATTTTTACTTGTATCTTTTTGTAGGTTAACAATTCTCATCCTTAAAATCTGATTACTAGAGTAGAAATTTAGCATTGAAAAATTTCCTGGGAGAAAGCTAGAACTAATTTTGTGGAACAAGAGTAGCAAAAATGTTGACATTGTTTTGTAGGTAGAACATGAGGACCATGTACAGTGGCTAGTCCTCAACAGAGGTATCGTGGGTTTGATTTCTGGTCTCTGGTCACATGCTACATGTCTTCCCCCACTCACTGCATCCTGTTTCCTGTCAATTTACTGTTCATTAAAGGCCACTCATACCGAAAAACCTTTCATAAAATGTAACAGTGGAGTCATATGAATTTAAAATAATCTGCAGTTTGTATTTTCTAACTTCAACTGAAATAGATTTTTACAATGAAATCTGTTTACAACCATTTGTGGCAACAAAAGGGAGAAATTATTTGAATCAAAATAATATATTATGGGGTTTTGTTATTTTGTTGAATGTTTTTGCATTTCTAGTGGCCTTTATTCATAGCTAGACCAGAAGGAGAGGAGAGAGAAGGGGAAGGACTGCACGAAGTATTGAAATGAATCCTATGATTAAGTGTAACTAAGCCCGTCTGAAAGCTAAAGCGCACTGGCAAATTTTGAAAAATTACAGCAAAATACATCAACTGAGCAATACCTCAGCTGATAGTTTTGGAGTGAGAATAGTTAGGTCTGAGCATCTTCTGAATTTAGGGCCTGTTTTGGGCTCCACAGAAGAGAGTCACAAACAACAATAACAAAAAAAAAACAACAACAACAACAACAAAAACAGGGTAACTTGAAGTTCAGGAGAAAGACACTTTTTCTTTTCTAGTGGGATGGAGATCATCATGCAACTAGTCTGAATACAGTAAGTACTTTGAGTGCAAGGAAAGTTCTTGAGAATCCTCCTCAGCATTTTAGTTTGTTCAACAAATTCCGCTGATAAACAATTGTTCAGATCAAACGGACAAAAGAGTCTTTGCTGTTTTCTTTGTGTTGGTGGTTCCACATATAACTATTCCAGTTAGTAGTTGTAATAAAATATAAAAATATAATGTAGTATAACATTGCTGTAATAATATAGTAATAATTGGCTCCTTGCAGTTAAATCAAGAAAACGATTCACACATCCTCATCTTCCTTAAAAGTGATTTAAAAAAAGATATTTAGGAAATTAAATAAATAAATAAATAAATAAATAAATAAATAAATAAATAAATAAATAATATTATTAATAATAATAATAATAATAATAATAATCTCTTTTGGCAAAAAATTGACTTGGGTATCATTTTTAGAAATGTGACAAAATATATCTGTGATTCACAAAGAACTGTTTGCAGAAAAAAATGTATTAGAAGGAAAAACGTTACTTTGTTTATAGAAACATACAAAACTGCAAATCAACTGGATATTTTTTTGTGCATTTGCTGTTTGATCTGTCAAATGAAACCTCTAACTGCTCTATATGGTTTCTAGCAGAGTGCACACAGCTTTCTTTTGTTTTGTGCAGTGCCATTGTACAACCACTGTCATCTCAGTGGACTCCACACTGTTTGGATGAAATCCAATTTAATATAGTTGCTTGACTTACATTGGCAAATCAGAGCAGAAAAGTTTTCATTTGACTGCACAAGTTAATCTGTCCAAGATCCAACATAAAGCATTCAGTTAAAATCTGTCTCAGTAATGAAGCTGTCAGCTCAGGACTTTGGAGTTGATTTCCTCATATGACCAGCTATGCAGTAAATGTATGATTTGGTTTACATTGGCTTTGATTGACCAGTAATGGCTTTGCAAGTTCATGTGGTGAAATGATAAAATGTGGTTCTGGAAAACAAACCCGGAATGAGAGTGGAGGGAACAGTTTGCAGGTTTTTACCAGTCAACAGTGTCCACAATTCAGATAGTTATAAAAGCTTGAAATGTCCAGAATCCTCCACAATCTTTACCCCCAGTAGAGACATGTAAAAAGCCTTAACCCTTGTGTTTACAAATGGGGTCCAACCGACCCCACACCTGTATCACTTGTATCATTTGCCTCAGTTCTCGTACGCACAAGCGTTAAAATAGAACAAGATCTTGAACTGACATTGAGAATGAAATATAAAACCATTTATTTCTAATCTTCCTGCTTTCCTGGGTTAAAAATGTGACACAGATGTTAATTTCTATACGTTACTCTTCAAAATAGGAAGGACAGCAGAGGTCATTCAGAAAAGAGGGATGTGTTTTCTGAATGACCCCCCACCCCTCCCACTCTTCTTCTACTGATCTTCATGAGATCAGTGATGAAGAGAAAGTACCCTGCTTAAATTCTAGAGACTTGCATGTTTTGGGTAGATTATTGGTTAGTGTTGAAGCACATGATGGAATGTGTCTGTTTGCCTACATGATTTATTCATGAAATGACAACTGACATTTTATCTCCCCACAAATAGCAACATTTGGTAGCTATACGTAATGATGTACTAAACATAGAAGTTGTTTAAAGTTCTCCATTACTGACTTCTGTTTGAATGATAGTGGGATGATGTAATTCAAACAGAGCGGTGACTGTGATTGGTTCCCCTTCTTGCAAGGAGCATAGTGTGTGGCCAATTGCATTTCAGTAAATAAAAACAGCAACAGCGAACTACAAAGCTAATGGCAGGAGTAACAGCAAGCTTTCTATAAAAGTAGTGGCGATGAAAGCCATAAGTTCCACCCCAAAAAATAAATATGCAAGTAAAGATACTCAAAAAATGTGCTTAAGTACAGACCTTCAGTAAGTCTACTCCCTTACTGTCCACCACTGCTGATCGTCCATGTTTCTCCACAGTCTCACCACCCAAGGACCTCACGGTTGTGGAGGTGACTCCTGAGACGGTGGACCTATCCTGGGAGAATGAGATGCGAGTGACAGAGTACCTGATCACCTACGTGCCCACGGCCCCTGGCGGTCTGGAGCTCGACATGCGGGTACCTGGGGACCAGAAGGAGGCCACCATTCGGGAGCTTGAGCCTGGTGTGGAGTACCTGATCAGTGTCTATGCTGTACTCAGCAACAAGAAGAGCGTTCCTGTCAGCGCTCGCGTGGCAACACGTAAGTGAAAGCACTACCTGGCGGCTCCCAAAATGCACCTCAGAAGATATGGGTGCGTTAAGAGTTTTTGTCATGTTCAGATCTCCCCAAGCCCGAGGGTCTTAAGTTTAAGTCAGTTCGAGAGACGTCAGTGGAAGTGCAGTGGGACCCCCTGGATATCCCATTTGATGGTTGGAACCTCATCTTCAGAAACACAGTGAGTCTTCTAAGTTCCCAATGAAAGGAACCTGCTGCGGTTTTGGTAATTACACACATTCTCTTCCAGCCGAAACCCGATATGGCCTGACCTGCTGTAAAACCCTGACTTCAACCCCCACCTCCCATTAGAGCATGCTGCATACATTATGTTGAGAACCCAATGGAAAATGACCTAGCCAAACCAGAGGGTGAAACACAGCAGTTAAAGTTATTAGCAAGGCCTGACAGATCCAATCATTGTACAAGCGTTGGAGGCTGAGGACTTTCTGAGTGAAACTGTTCCAAAGGGAGCTACTGGGATCTGCACAAAGCCACATTCAACTAGAGAAACTCCCTGCCTCTGTTCCAGTCCAAACACCACTAAGAACGTCTTTATGTCTGCTTTTATACCCGTCTCTGCATACTTTATGCCAGAACTACTCTTTGAGGACTGATTTTTTTTCTCTTTTTTTTGCTGTTGGCAGAAAGAGGAGGACGGTGAGATTCTCAACTCTCTGGGCCGGCCGGAGACCACCTTCGAGCAGTCGGGTCTGGGTCCAGGCCAGGAGTACGAGGTCAAACTGGAGGTGGTGAAGAACAAAAAACGTGGGCCGCCTGCCTCGAAGAACATCGTCACAAGTGAGTTCATGCAGCCTTGCTGCACACCGATGCTGACTGGACATGACACAGTGGTCAACACATAATAAGTTCTTCAAAAGCCTCCCACTTGAATGTATATTTTGTATTGATTTGTTCTGCATAAGAGACAGTGTTCAGGAAAGAAATATCTTCATTAGATAGAAAATCTCCTCCAATGTGATAACAGTGTGCTCTCATACACCAAGATGTTCAGTGGTCATTCTATACACTGCAAAAACACAAAATCTTACCAACTATTTTTGGTTTAGTTTCTTGTGCAAATATCTTAGTTCAGTATAAATTAGACAAAACTAACTTACAAGTAACTTTTCAACAAAGAAATAGGAGCTTTTTTTAAGTAAATAATTCCTTAATAATGGTGAAAAAGTAATAGTTCTGTTGCCTGAATATTTCATTTATAACAAGAGATTTTCCCCTAGTTATACATTAATTTATCTGCCAGTGGAACTAATACTTTTTCATCAATATTAAAGAAATATCTACTTAAAACAAGCTTGTATATCTTGCGAAAAAGTTGCTTTTAAGTTAGTTTGTCTTACTTACTCACTAAGATATTTTCAGTAGAAGGTAGGCCAAAATTACTGTCATGATCTGTAGTGTGGTTTGGTGAGAACAAACGCGGAGACCCAGATGATGGTGATGACGATGATGATGATTTAATAAGAGAGCTCAACACAGGTGGCACAGCAAAGAGTTAGCGCACAGCTAATTACCGGTAGTAACTGAAAAACTGAGGACTGAATAAGAGAGCTAACCAACACAGGACTTTACAGTACGACTGTGATGGCAGGCAGACAAACGACAAATGACATTCGACGACAGTAGACAAGGACCCGACAAGAGACAAAGACAACAGGTGGGCTTAAATACACAGGGAGGGTAATCAGGTAACTAGACACACCTAAGAAGCAATCAACAGGGAAGACAGGACAGGAACAGGAACAACCACAGAAAACCTCAAAAATAACTACACAGAAAACACAGAACATAACAATTACTTGGTAAGATTTTCTGTTTTTGCAGTGGAATGGTCCAGTCAAAGCTGGGTGAAACATACCCCCAATAACATGTAACTGCATTTGTTGCAAAACGTGGTTCTACATAGAACTGACTGAAAACATAAGCAGGCTACACTTTTACAGATCTCCATCTGTTAAAAGGTCGTCACATCTGATTAACTATAAAACAGGAATCAGATATCCTCCCTGTTGTTTGTGAGTAAAAGTGTTAAAAATAGTTTTTATCCCATCATAAGTTCAAGGAGTTTGAATTCTCTTGCAAGGCACAGTGTCCCTTATCAAATCATATCCTGAACTATTCATTGCAACAATGAACCTACTTCTGTTGTTTAGCGTCCACGACTGGTTCGTCAGTCGTCTCGTTAGAAAATGTGCGTTCTGGTTACCACTCTGGAACTTTTTTCTCCTTGGTGTTTTGTTTTTCCATCAGAGCTGTGCTGAGGCAGCTACTTGTTGTTTCCCTCTGAGAGCGGGTCGTCACATCTGATAAAATATAAAACAGAAATCAGATATCCTCCCTGTTGTTTTTGAGTAATGTGTTTACCTTCAGGTAAGCCGGAACACAAAGGAAATATGAGATGAGATAAAGGTAACCGACCTGAGGAGCCGTGTGTTTCTGACCACCCTTCTGTTGAGCCTTATCACTTTTGATTCATGTCCATAATCAAGTGTGTTTTTGCTCCCTTCACACGTATAGATGCAGGTCATAAAAACAAACTGATGGATTCTGGGTGACAAAGCTATACACTCTGTAACTCCACAGAAATTGAAAGATTGATATCAAATAATTGTAAATTCAAACCCTAACCGTGTATTCTATCAACCTGATATAAGGACTAGAATAAATCTTTGCTTCACTTTCAACATTTGAACCCAGTGCAGTAAACACAAGGAGAAGGACGCTTTTCTTTCTTCACACAGAGGTTTTATAAAATAAAAGATTTATTTAAGTTCAAACGTAATGGTCAAACCAAGCTTTCACCTTTAGATACAGGCTCATTAGTTTCTTTACCTGGCTCATCCATCTTGCAGTCAGTGAAAGCAGAGAAGTGTTCATGTCAGGCCTGACTGATTGGCTCATTAGAGATTTCTGCAAAGCTATGATTTACCAGAGGCGAAAAGGCTGATATGGATTTCCAGTCCTTGTTGACAAGTAATGACATACTCCCTCCACTTGTTTACTTTATAAATCCTTAAACTTTAGGAAACTCAGAGCTGGAGATCAATACTATGACCTCTCTGTAAGAGAGCAAGAAAACAACCTCAACCTGAATATATTTATTTTTACTGATGAATAACGGTCAGCTTGCAACACGTTTATTATTTCTCCCCTTGTTCTCGTCGTACACAAGCGAACCCACAGAAAAAATCTATGCAGATGCAGCACATTTCACAACATGGGATTAAATGAAAGCAGACTGGACTATTTGAGGAAGCTAAAGTCCTTCAGTGTTTGCAGCATCTTGTATAAATCTGTTGGGGCAGCAGGATCTGAGCCAGGGACCTTAAAAAGCTCCACGACCTGAAAATGAAGTTGTGGTTGTGGTGAGGGGACGACGCTGGAACCTCTGGAGATGATGGTGCAAAGAAGGATTCTCTAGAACATCAAGAAAATGATCAATCAATCAATTCAATCAAGTTCATTTGTAAAGCTCATTTCAGCAATGAGGCAGTTCAAAGTGCTTTACAAAACAAAAACACAGAAATGCACAATAAACAATTGAGAAAACCAGTAAACATTAAATTATGTACAACCCTGAGCATCCTCATCATGAGGACAGCAGAGTGATTAGATTTATTAGGATTCTGCGTTTCTTAGCGGTTGCAGTCCTTCATGGAGGAGGGATCTCCTTAACGCAGTGCATTAAGAAGTTAGAAATCAGTCTCTGTTCTCTGTGTGAAGCTCAGATCTTCTTGGCATGGGTCCACTCTATTGTTTTGGAAATCGGCGACCTTCCCCAACCTCTATGGCACGCTGTGGATTACTTTTAGAGACCATGCTTTTGTCTGTATCATCAAAGTAAGAGTTGTGTCAGCTTGCATTCCTGGTGCCATACTCCTTCTGGGCACAGGTCCGCCTTGTGTCACTGATCCTGGTTCAGATGATCATGGAGAGCAGTTTGGAGTGTAGGGTGTCTGCTCTGTTGACCTCATGGTCTCATATATGCTTTGCTTATTCATGATGTGGTTATGTCAATATGTGTCATAATGTGTCAGGCCAGAATCTTCATTGGCGGCAGAACTGTTCCAGCTGTTTCAGTGTCAGCTCTGTCTCAAGTGGAGGGTACCTGAGTCAGAGAGGAATCTAAGATCTTTTATCATTCAAAGGTATTGGCAGAATGTTCAAGATTTCATCAGCAATGGTGAAGGTGCTGCTAAAATCAGTCATGGCCCAATAAGAACTGAGCTAAAAAGCAAACCTCTGAACTACCTCGCTCCTCTGATCAAACGAACAAGATTTCAGGAACAAACTGCTGAACTGAGCTTTCTCCGTAGAGTGAGTTTAGGACAGTCATCAACATTAGACATCTCTCAGCAGGAACACAACTTTTCTCCATCTAGAGGAGGTAGACCAGCTGATTTGGACATCTGAAAACGACTCCAGAGCAAACCTAGAACTCAGTTTAGGGATTTTCTATGACCTGGGAATTCTTTGGACATCCGCATCCTCAAATAGTTGTGATGGAGTTAAGAGTGTCATGGCTGACTGGCTGGATGGATGGATGCATGGATTCAGTTAGGATCTCGTCACTGTGTCCTGCATTTGCTTCTACATATTTGTCATCTCTACCTGGCTGATGATGCTCTGAGTCCTCTGGGACACACGGGGTCTATTAAAGTCTCCTGTTTTTCTAGCTTGGGGGGTTTCATGGTTTAAAGAATGTCAATTCTCCGCTCTCCCCTCACCATCTGTGGGAGGCACCATTCATTCATGCAGACACACTCAGAGGGACACCACCCTTCCAGGAGAACACAACCCTGACACCCCAAGGACACCCTGCAGCCATGTTGGTAGCCAACTCTGTGCTAGACTCACATGAAGACCACATTTTATCAACCCTTTACAGAGAGTTTACTTTCTTTAACATGTTTGTGTGTGACAAATCAATTCAAGCACCAGTGAAAAGTCAACCTTCATGGAGCTGGGATTTTATACGTAAATTATATTCAGACTCTCAGAAAATTCAAGCAATCTGCCTCATTGAGAGCATCTATGTTGCTGCACTGACTCGACTACAAGCCATTATTTTACAAAGTAACATTTTCTTTATGACATATTTGATATATACAACTTTTTTTTTTTTTACCAAGTAAAGCTAACATACTTTCTTCATTGTACTGTACAATGGCTCTATGTGCCTGGAAAACGCATAATCCTGCCCCTCTTTTTGCCTGATTGGTTTTACAACGACTCCTCCTTCACCTGTCCTTCCAGTGATCGATGCTCCCGGCCAGGTGGATGTGCGAGATGTGACGGACACCACGGCGCTGGTCACCTGGTTCCATCCGGTGGCACACGTGGACGGGGTCAGCGTCTCCTTCGGGCCCAGCCTGAACCCAGCAGATCGTAACGTGGTGGAGCTGTCATCTGCTGACACACAGTACCACCTGGCTGGCCTCAGCCCTGATACGCGGTACGAGGTGTCTCTGACGGCAAAGAGGGGGGAGCAGAGCAGCATACCGGTGTATGACTCCTTCCTTACAGGTAAGACTCCTGGAATCTTCTTCCTTTCACAGCTTTCATTAGGCGCCCAGGGATTTGGGGACCACACAAGATGTTCCTGTTGCTGTATTTATGAGAATGGATGCATGTAATCTTTGAACTTTGATTCAGTTCCCCCTGCTAGTATAAGCCCCTGCTGGACCTGTCTCCTGTTGACTTCCTGGTGGCTGCAGCAGAATAATATTAATCTATAGATTTTATAAAGGCTTTGTTCGGTAATTATGACATTTTTTTTAATTAACTGATCGTTCCTTTCCAACAGTGGGAATCAACAAACATCTTCTTGTCCAGATTAAGAATCAGTTTGTCCCTATTAAGCTCAGAACTTCACTCTGGAACTAGACCTTGTTTGGCTAATGTTACAAACTCAGACCCCGTCCACATAGAGATGAGATCAGGAATGTCTGCAAAGGTATGTTTCCGTCCAGGCAGTGTGTCCACACGGATCTGGTGTTCTGATCGTCTTTGATCAGTTCTGGCCTTTCAAATTCAGGTGGACAAATCACCAAAATGCAGATTTAATGTTTCAGTGAGCACATGCTCCATCTGTGTCATCGACATTCGCCTCTCTCTCACAAATCAACATTGTGCTATTAGTGTTGTGTTTATGCTAAGAGCAGTATTGCTGTTGCTTTGCGTCACATGACTTCATCATGCATGAACAGTGTTTTTGTATCATTCTGTAGCAGACAGAGCTGCAGCGCCACCAATTGGCCCAGCATGCATCCTGTCAAATGGAGGCATGTTTTTGCCTTAATTGTTTCTCATAATGTGTTGTGTTCATATCAATCTGCACACCAATTTATTAGACCTTTTCATTTTGTCTTTGTCACACCAAGACTAAGGCAACTTTGCTGCCACATTTACAGTTTTAAATTGAAGGCAAAGTGGTGTTTTCTGAAATAAAATTGCTTACAGTGAGATATAAGAGACTATAAATTCATTGTTCAGAGGTCAGGCTTTTGTCATACATGGCATTTTTTCATCTATATGTCCAACTCCTACATTTAAGTTGTCTAGATTTTTCTTCCTGATTCTTTGATCATCTGGAGCAGAAGGTTAAATCTCATTCAAACAAATGGTTTAAATAATATTTATTTGCCTTATGTCTGTCTCTGTGCCGTAGACCTGGACGCTCCCAGAGACCTTCAGACGGTGGAAATAACAGACGAGAGCATCACTCTGGAGTGGAGAAACAGTAAGGCTCAGGTGGACCAGTACCGCATCAAGTACGGCCCGCTGTCTGGAGGCGACCACGGAGAACTGCTCTTCCCGCCCGGAGCCAGGGACTCCACCCAGGCCAAAATCACCGGTACGACAGACTACACACACCAACACACACGTGTCCAAGCTACCGTCAGCAGGCAGATGTTAAATGTAAAAAGCATGGTGATGAATTAAAGCGCCAGAACAGAGTTGGAGCAGTCCTGATCCTTACCTTCTGCCATGCAAAATATGAGAACCTGCATTTAACGAAATTATAATAAAGATTATTTATTTCACAAATAATTTACCTTTTAAATACCTTTCACTGGCATATAACAGTTAAAGTAGGAGTAAATAATTTCAATCATTTCATCAACTGGTATGATCCTTTTTTACTATATGTGAAGACTACACCTTCCTTCCTTCCTTCATTCCTCCCTCCCTCCCTTCCTTTGATAGAATAAATTCATTTTAGTATTTTCTCTTGTAAATGACTAAGAACTGAACATGTAGTTTGCAGTTATAGCAGAAACTAAATGGCTTAATTTGAAAATGAAGGAGTTTTGGGGACTTTTTCAAAATGGTCAGCAGGATTTTCACCCAGTTCATTTTCCAAAACTCAGTTTCCTTTCTTTTGTCTTGTTAAATGTTTGCCTGGACTCAGTAACACTTTGTTTTGTGTAAAAAAAAAAAATAAATAAATAAATAAATAAAAAAAAAACCATCAGCGGTGGGTGCTTTGCTTTCTTTTGGTCCTGAATGAGGAAGCAGACTGTGAGAATGCTCTTGTTGAAGGCAGGGATTGGTTTTTCCTCCTGCTGCAGCGGCGACCACATCCAGCCATGCATTGATGTGTTTCTGTGGCTGGTTGTTTTCTTCTGCAGTTCTCCAGTACAGCATGGCTACACAACACTAGAAACAAACAAGGAAAGAAAAAAAAAAAGCTTCTAAAATAAACCAGTTGAGTCTTTGTTTGACCCACTTCTTTGTCCTTGGATGGCCTGTCCAATGAAAATACAGCACTGTGTTCATTCAGCTGACACCCACCCCCAACCCCCTTGTGTCCACACACACCTCAGCACTTCTTTCACACACTTATTATCTGTAATTGCCTTCACGCTCGTGATTTTATTGATAATGAGCTTCCTGGGCTTTAGGTGTAATTTCATGCAGGAAAGCCCTGCGCGCTGTGACCTCTGTGGGAGTTAATAAAGGAATTAGGAGCGATCAGTGTGAGAGAGGAGCTGATTGTAAAGACCAAACAGCCCCCAGAGCCCGCTGCATCACTGCAGCAAGTGTTCCTGCTCTGCAACAAGGGCTCTATAGATCCATCAATGCAAATACAACACCAATGTTCCACAGTGAACACAAGCATACCATGAAACGCAATTAGGCACCAATCTATTGTGCAATCAAGCCACAAGAGAGCGTTTTTGTGGCCCCGCAGCCATTAGCTGCAACAGCTGGCCACTTGACTATAGACACTCCCTCAGTTCATTTGTTGACACCTCCACAAAACAGGAGAGGGGCTTTTTCATAGTTTGCATGTTCCTGGTGTTCTGCAGGCCTGAGACCGGGGACGGAGTACGGGATGGGAGTAACCGCGGTGACAGATGAGAGGGAAAGTCTGCCCACCACCACCAACGCAGTCACAGGTCAGATGTTTCCACCGAGACCTTCAACAATCACCTCTCACTCCCATGTTTCAGCTGCAGCCAACATCATCCGCCTGCTTTTTATGATGAAATATTAACTTTCTCCCATTAGTAGGTCTATAAAAGCACATTTAACACCCCTACCCCGACCCAACGTCTGCTTAATAAAATGAAGCAACAAAACTGTTCATGTTACAAATAGTAAATGAAAAACATAGAATCTTAGTGAAAGTCAACTAAACTGATGAACACAACAGATCTAAAGTAGAATTAAATGTTAGTGAGGAACTTTAAACTGACTGAACTTGTTCAAATGTGCTACAAATGTGCATGACCTTTAAAAGAAAAAGGACAACTTATATTTTTTAATAAATATCAAAACTGTCATTGTTAAAGGGCCCCATTTTATATCTCCATAGGTTCTAAAATAAAGAGAAACATTTCGCTGTTTCAGAAACAAGAATGGAAAAGTTTTTTTTTATGTGGTATGTTGAAATTTATGGAAAATGAAAAAGGAAAAAAACAGTTTCCAGTTAAATGACAAAAAAACATGATCTAAAACAATCCCACTAGTATTTTAGTGTAATTCATAATCAGTTCATCCCATGAAAACTGCTAAAACTACCATTTGTTATTAAATGTATAAACAGTTGATTCTTTATGATTCGAAGCCCGAGTTATTAAGAGACATTGTCGACGGTCCAAAGAGCTGCAGGCTGCAGAGCCCTGGTCTAATTTGTAGCCAGTTGTGGTCTAAAGATGTAGCAGAGCCACAGTCGCCTCTGATCTCTGTTCTGTTTGGAGAACATCTAAAACATCCTGGTGGTGATAGAACTTCAGGTGATGTATTTTGCTCCATCTGCAAAGACAAAAACTTCACAGCTTTGATTGGATAATGGAAGGATTTACATGTCAATCCAAAACAGTTCATATTAACAGGTGTTACCTTGGAATCCCAGATGGCTTTGCATCTGGATTTATCACCATAAGTTGATAAAAATCACAAACCTAAGATTGTAGATCAGCATAGACTTTGTAACTGGATTTCAAACTGGTGCAACATCTGGATAAATCCATTGCAACTGTGAGCAGTTCTGAAAACCAGATGAAGTCTTTACTGTCAGAATATCTTTGACGTACTGGGTTTTTTTATGTCTGCATGCCTGAAATGCTGGAAGGACTTTCCTGTACATTCATCTGAAGAGTTTAGGGAGTTAGCAAAAGATATTTCTGAAAGATTTATGTGACAGGGAACAAATCTGTTGGCTTTATTTGTATTAGTTTTCTAAGCTGATCTTTCTTCCATCAGCCCTGGACGCCCCCAGAGAGCTGACTGTAGCAGAGGTGACAGAGACCACCATGATGCTGGAGTGGAAGCGGCCTCTGGCCAAGCTGGACTCCTACCGGCTGGTCTACGTGTCGGCTGACGGTCAGAGGGCTGAAGACTCGGTCCCCGGCACCTCAGAGTCTCACACCCTGCGGGGCCTGAACCCCGGCATGATGTACACCGTTGGCGTCACCGCCGAGAGGGGTCGCAGGAGCAGCGCGCCCGCCACTGTCTCAGCTGCCACAGGTCAGCACGTCCAACAGCTTTCTCCCAAATAAGTTGCTGTGCCTGGTTGGAAAACAACAGAGCACAGTTGTTAGACTCTTGCCGTTTATTACTTGATGTTTGAGATGCAGGGCCTTCCTTAAGGCCCTGGATGTTGTGGTGTTGTGTTGGCAGTATTGCAGTGACTATGAGGGAATAGTCGAACCTCGGATTCAGGGAGAGCAGTGTGGTTCTGGTTCTGATCCTGGAGTACAGTCTGGACCAGCTGTCCACACTCAGCAGGGTCCTGGAGGGTGTGTGGGAAATCCTCCCAACCTATTTGGACAAGGTGTTGGACCGAATCCCTCAGGGAACCTTGTGAGGGTATCAGGCCCTTTGATATGAGCTGTTGGGTTCCTGTATGAGAGTCTGGTCCGCAATGCCAGCAGTAAGCCTGGCTTGTTTCCAGTGAGAGTTGGACTTTGCCAATGTTGCCCTTTGTCACCGATTCTGCTCATAATTTTTATTCTAGGTGCTAAGTTGATCCAAGTTGGTGGCCTTGGGATCTCACCTCAGCTCTTTGCAGATGATGTGGTCCTACTGGCTTCATCAGGTCATGATCTGCAGCTTTGAACCAGCTTTAAAAAAGCACCAGGCTGATTCGTTCCTTCTTAAATGGTTCAGATAGACCAAGGACGCATTCTGTTTTTCTCCTTCAGCATCCATGTGATGACAGACAGACAGACAGACAGACAGACAGTTAGTTTGTTAGCTTGTAGTTAGCAGATAACTTCACTGTACAATGTAAGGGTTCAAAATCCAAATGCAGATTGTGCGACTCTGTAGTTTAAGAAGTCTGATTTGTAGCTGATGTTTCTGAATCCATGATGTGCCAAATCCAGCTGGATGTCGGAATCTCCCGTCTAAATCCCAGAGAGCCGGAGCCGGGGGATCAAGAAAAGACAAAACACAAAACAGACTAATCTTTCTTCAACATTTCAGAGAACATCAGAAAGAATGGAGAGGTTTGTTTTGCTAAAACATACGACAGTGTAACTGTAGCTCACTGTTTCCAGGAGGGTTTTAGCTGATGGTGCAGAGTTGAAGGGGGTCTTCTCATAATCCCCCGCACCCTCATGTCCCAACCCCCTTTTTTCATAGCTTTGGCCAAACCAAGGCAATGAATTGCATTCATTGTTATTTCTCAATGTAACTGTGTCTCCTTCTACGGCTCCTTTATAGCACATGGAAATATTTCTTTCTTTTTTCCCCACTTTTTTTTTTTTTACAAGAAAGTTTTAAGTAAGTGTGCTGCAGTAAGTGTGCCGCCAAGACTAACATCCCACAGGTAGATCCTGGTGCTGGGTTAAGCTGGTGGCTGTAGGCAGAAATCGCTGAATGGAAGCGGCTCTGTGTGTTTCCTTCTTGGGGATCAGAAGCTGCATGCCTGCTGCAGCTGGTAAAAGCAAGACAGAGGATTTATGTGAGCATTTCGGTATTGCACTATATCACAAGCCTTGCATCTGCCTTTAAGCTGCAGATATTTCCCCCATTTGCTTCAAAGATGGAGTCTCAGAGGAACCTTAGAGCAGACTGGTAATGTGTGTGTGCTGCTGGGAAACAGCCTGGCCATGTGTGCAGCCCTGTGCGTTTCTCATTCATGTGCTAATTGGCGACCTGAGCCCTGCTCCCCTCTGGGTTTTGTGCGATTTGACCACGATGAACCGTGGGTCCGTCTGATAAAGGGACACATGCTGGGAGTCCTGCTAAATCGCTGTCTTCACAATCAGTAGCCGCCTAATCCACAGCCGGGAGGTTTATATCATCTCCACCAACATGGATCATGCTGGTTCTGCAGGAGGGACGGGCAGACAGAAGACGGGTGGGGGGTGGGGTTTATAGTAGTACCTGAACAATCACAGACAAGGATTAGGATTGTAAATTTGATAGTAGACTCAATCGACTGTCTCTGAGGTGACCTGCCTATAGAATGTGCTTCACAGCTGAAAGTTGCTCTTCAGAGAGTCCAAAAAAAAAAAAAAATCACAGTTTTTCGGGCTCTAACTTTATGGTTGCTATGTTAAAAATAAGACGTTTACATACAGAATGATTGAATGATTACTGGCTCTTCAACCATCCCGCGGTCTTAGAGCAACACTCAGGAGGAGCGTGGAAAAGTCACAGTCGGACAGCGGGCAAGAGTGTGGTTGGTGGGGGATCTGTCCCGTCAGATTTCCATCGATATCGGTCGTTTAAGTAAATCTGGGTCAATATTAACAACCAATGTTTATTTCCATCCTGTTGACGTTTGATTGGAGGGGCTTGGCCATCAGGTATTGGTTTGGTCATGTGACTGCAGGACTGTGAGCTGTTTAATTGAAGCAAAGAAGCAATGTCGGGCTTGTGATCATTTTTCCATAGTGATGAAAGTGTATAGAAATAATATAAGTAAATATGACTTACTGTGTCTGCTTCATTTCAGCCCAGCATTGCCACTGATAAGAACAACCTATTTTATATTGTGCAGCTAGCCGCATTAAGTGGAAGCATCTGAAGGGGTCGGCTTTCCACAGAGTTCAGGTTTTACACATGAGGTTTTAACTTCACTTAGCTGTAAAAACATTATTTCTGTGCAAACCATCCGTCACGGCCCTTACACCGCACAGATCTGCCTGCAGGTAGATTTCACAACAAGATTATGTTTGGCAATAAAAAGCCCCTTTAAGTTAATGCTGCACATCTGACAGCTGAAAAGGAAGTCAAAATAATAAAAAATTCTGTAGTTCATTAGACGCTGTGAAAAAATGAGTTACAGCTGCAGCTACTTACTGTGGGAAACATGGAAAGAGAAGATTTAGAGAGAATAGTTCATCTAACTGGGTAAATGAGTTTGTGGACATCAGCAGACACTCTGTAATGGCTGTGGAAAGATGAAAAGTAAAATCCACAGATCAACAATGCATTTCCTCTCCTGAGAAATTTATGCTTACAAACAACACATGTGGTTGCTTTGATGGTCTGGCTGCTGACTCCACCAGAATTGTCCTGGTCCCTCAGCTTTGACTTGTTCCTTCATGTGAACACGAGTCTCTAACGGTTTCATAATCCTGGGCCCAAAAGTGTTTCCACCGAGTTGGCAGGGACGGAAACTGTGATTGGTTTACTTTTTAAGGAGGTCAGCCATTTTTCCTGTGATGTTGATGGTCCTAAGGGAAAGTAGGAGTGTTCACTCTGTGATTTGTAGCCAAGTGAAAATGGACTCAAGGTATCTGTTCATATATAATCCTAGATTTGTGAACTTTGTAAGCCTGTTTATGTGTAGCTTTGGGTATTTGTAAGTGTATTTGTATGATTTGTAAACCTCAAAAAACTTTTTGAGCGCTACTTTGGTAACTTTCAAATGTGTTTTAAAATTCAAACACCAATTTCACGTCCTTTTGTGACTGAAGGAGGGTTTTTGAGACTCATGTAAGAGCCTCATAGGTTAGTGCGTGGGTGGTGCGTTTAATTACTGGGTGGTGTGATCAAAATGATCTCTGCATGCATGTCGTCTTATTTGTGCATATTACATGACTTGTGTCCATGAATTTAACCTTTTGTATGCGTAGGAACGTTTTGGAGTTTATACATAATTAGCACATTGTTGAGGTTTTTTGTCATTTGTAATTGTGGTATGTTGATAATTTCTCGATATTGGTGTGTGCATTTAAAAAACACATTTGAAAGTTACCAAGGTCATGCACAAAATGTTTTTTTGCTATTTACAAATCATACTTTACACACACCAATTCCCAAAGCTACATACAATCAGGCTTACAGACTTTACAAATCCATACACACAGATATTATGAGTCTATTTTCTCTCCAAATATTTTTTTGGTTCGTTTTCAGCAACAGACATTTATGATCTGCGGTTTGAGACATCAGTTCAAATGTACCTGCTCTGAAGAAGCAGAGAAATGCAGATTGAGGTTAAGTTGTGTTTTTCGTTAATGCTGCTGATGTTCAAACGCCCAACATTTACAAGCAGTTTTGTCAGCGGGAACAGCAAACCCTGAAGCGTTTCAGTTTATTATTCTGAGGGGTTCTTCCTGTAAACCTGTCTTCAGTTAGTCAGCAGCATGGGGGCCGTTTCTGGATTCTTCACACGATCTCTACTGAGCTTCGCATCTGAAACCACGGTGCTGTCCTTATATGAACCCACTTCTTCCTCAGTCATGGCTTCATTATGAGTACAAAGGACAGCTTTCCATTGTCTTGTTGAAACAGCACACAGCTTTGTTCATTCTTTGTATGACAGTATTCTTTTTTGTCTTTTTGTGAATTATTATTGTGGTCATGTTGAAAAGGACCAACAGCAGTCAGCAAAGACTTCCTCTCTGTCTCTCTGGAGCCATTTTGGTTCTCTAACCAGTGGTTTAAATCTCCACATATCAACTCGAGGTCTGATCATATCCTGGTCAGCCATTTGGCTGCAAATCAAAGTCACCAAGTTTATCTGAGCTCTTAGTCAGTTATTCAGTAAAGAATAACGGCAGTGGTCTAAAAATCCCCTGAAGCAAAAAAAAGTATGTAGAGAGAAACAAGGTAACTAAGCAGATTTTACATACCTTTACATCAGCCTCAGAGATAAGTTATTTTTATGATTTCTTTCATTCCAATACAGCCTTTTCTTTTTTTGTATTGTACATCTGAAATTAATAGGAATAATATTTTTTTCTCTTTTGAAATGTCAGCTTACACTTAATCTGTAGCCTCAATGTATGTCATAACACTCCGCATGCCTTCAAATCAGAACCAAACCTCAGTACAGAAAGAAATTACAGTCGATAGCTCATTCTGAATATCGAGAGCAATCTTTCATTGGGTTTATCTTACTTTTGGTTTTCATTTTAAATAATACTAATACAAAAACAGAAACTGTACACACAACAGATTGAAGACATGCATGTACGACCCTAGATTGTCTCAAAAACTTCAAAAGTGCACCGCCTTGACAAAGGCTAAACCCACTGAGTGTTCTTTTTCCTCTATTGACCACAAACTTCAACAGATTTTATTAGGATTTTGTATGATGTTTTAAAAAAGTCACATTTTTGTTTTGTTTTTCAAATAACATGAAAAGTGTGGCTTGCTTTTGTCTTCATTCGCCTTTCCAAAACTGCTTGATAACATTTGCTGCAACTAAAAGTCCTCAGGAGTTAGCATGTTAGTGAGCAAACTCCACCTGTGAGCCATTTAATGGCAGAAGGTCCAGATGTTTGGTTTCTGGCCTCAGAGGTTCACAGAACATCAGAAACAAAATGGCATCATGAAAACCAAGCTAACCCAGCAGATTGGAAGTCTGGGAGACGGTTAAAGCAGAAACGATTCACCAAGATCTGAACATCTCAGAGCTCTGATCAATTTGATATCTTACAATGAAAAATGCATGGTGGACTTTGAAACTCACCAGGACATGGCTGTCCTCCCAAACTGACAGAATCAGTCAGAGGAGCAGTCGAGGTAGCCATAGTAACTGCAGAGGAGCTGCAGGAAGGAGGTCAGAGTTGATGGGAGGATGGATGTGGTTAACTTGTAACTGACCCCTCTGTGGAAGAATAACCACTGACAAATGTAGAAAAATTTCCTCATGTGGGTGGAGCCAAAAGTCATGGAGGGGCAGGGCCAGGGGTAATGATCAGCAGAGGGAGAAGGTAGAACTGTGGTCTGAAAATTCAACTGTCTACAATGAATGTTCACAGATACACTGTCCAAACTGAGTTTGAGAAAAGAATGTCAAAAGAAAGCTGTTAGAGATGAACCCCCAAAACACCTGGATCCCTGTTGGAACAGGGAGTGAAAACAAAAGCACGCCATTTTAGATTTTTGTAATTCATGTGTTAGTTTCTTTCAACTTCAGAATGTTTTACATTGTGTTATTTTCTCACCTAAAATGCCAAAAAAGATACGTTGAAGTTTGTAGCTGTGAGGTAATAAAATATAAAAAAGCTATATAAATCCTTAAAGCAGGCGGTGTGTGAGTGGTGGAAGGGTCAGGGTGTGTGTCTCTGTAATCCGCAGCCTGCAGCAGACAAGCCTGTGTGTGAAATGGAAGATATCAGCTATAGAGGAGATATCTGAGGGGACCGTTTCATACGTCAGGACTCGTTAACCGCATGAGCTTGTTGAGACACCTCTATTACACACTTACTAAAGGGGCAGTATTATTTGTAGCACAATCAAATAATGTTGACTTCAGTTGCTAAATGCTGTATATACCAAATATACAACATTTAGCAACTTGATTTTGTAATTTAACACCTTCAAATTGGGCCACTGTCTCTTTAAAAACTCCTACTCTTTCTGAAACTCCGTCTTCAGGAAGTCATCACAACATGGCTCCTTTATCATTCCTTTAATAATGTTTTTACCAGTGTTGTACTGAGAAGTAGCTCTTATAATGAGCTCAGCAGATGCTCAGTTCCACCAGATGTTGTGGACTAGTCTGAAGGAGCAGAGTGGAGGAGTAATGGGAGGGCCAATCTGTGAGGTTGAAGTGCTGGCGCTTGGAAATTGCACCTCAAAAGAGGAGCTTCATCTCAAAGGCGGAGCTAGGTCCACCCAGACGTTTTGCACAGCTGAATGATTACCATGGAGACCGAAGGATTTCTCAAACATGCATGAAAGTGTCAAGACAACACTTTAGGTATGTTTTTGATGAGAAAAAAAATTCTAAAGTTATGAAGCTGAAAAAAAGTAGATGATACTGCCCCTTTAGAAAGATGGAGGGAAGGTTTAATGGGAAATTATTTAGAGGAATTTTCACCAGAACGTCTCCATCATCAGCGTCTCTCCTGACATCCAATCACACTCCCTTTGTCCTCTCCAGCATGCTGTGGCAATCAGCCCGTAATGGCTGCCGTAATGTTTACCTGTGCCGTCGATTTTGTTTTCTTTCTGGAGTGCTCTCTTACACTCACCTCGCACATAGAACAGGCTTCAATTCCAGGCTGCATGGCTCTGTGCTTGGCCTCCTCATAGGTTTGAAGTGGACAGCGTACTTCAGCCTCACCAGGCTGGCTACGCCGCACCTTCAGATGTTAATGGCTCATTCACAGCCATTAATGGGCACAAGCTGCATCAGCATGTCTGCATGCTGCCTTTTATCATTATGTCTTCCCACTTATATGGTAATATAGAGGAGACGGCTAAAGGCAGCTGCTGATAATGAGGCTGTTTGGTCCCTTTAGCCTTTGTAGTGGAAATCCAGGAATACTTTGACTACAGACAAAGTAAAGGCTTTCCTTTATTGTCCTGAGAGCAAAATACAATAATTGAAATCTAAATGAGATGCCACCGTTGTTGACCTCAGTGTGATGCTTGGCAAAGGTTCTGCTATGTTTGTTTTGTGTATTTCACATGTGCATTGATGTGTATGTTTTCCCTGTTAGTCACTTTCTGCAAACAATTTGATTTTCAGTTGAATGTTTTTATCTGTAGTCCAGTTCTGTCGCGATGCAATTTGATCACCTCAGCATTGAAACTCCATGCTAACACTTCGTGTTTGTGTTGTATTATGTTGATGTGTTTGTCGTCGGCCAGCGGAGGAGAAGCCGGCGGTGACCAACGTCACCGTCAGCGACGTATCGTGGGAGAGCTTCCTCCTGTCCTGGTCTGCTGACGACGGGGCGTTCGACGCCTTTCTGATCGAGGTTACCGACGCGGAGACGGGCGCCGAGTGGCAGAACCACACGGCGCCCACAGACGCTCGCAGCCTCGTCGTCTCGGGCCTCTCCCCTGGCACCTGGTACAAGGCCGCCCTGTACGGGGTGCACACAGGGGCGCTCTTAGAGCCTGTGTTTGCAGACACCATCACAGGTACAGATGCAGTCAGCTCTGGGGCCTCACTCTGTCCTCTGCTTCACTTCCTGCTGCACTCAGGAAACGTACTGCCACTTTTCCCTGCTGCTTTTCTAAATGACACTGCAAAAACACAAAGTCTTACTGTGTGTTTTCTTTTTGTTTTGTTTCAAGTGTACTAAGATATTTGCAATTTGAACTACAATTTGTGCAAAAAAAAAAAGCTATATAAATAGTTTCTTGAGATAAACAATGAGATAAACAAAATAAATAAAACTTATTTGTCACTATAAAACTGCAGCAAAATATTTGGTCAAATTTTGTGTTTTTGGAGTGTAGAAGCTCTCTTATGCAGTGGGACATAATAAAATGAATCAAATACAACGTTTTGGGGAACTTGGCGATATTGCAGAAGAGCTGTGGATTCAACATGAACGTTTTTCAACTGGAGTATTCAATATTCTTTTCACTAGTGCTATGAAATTATTCTGAAATTATTTGCCTGCTAATGTCTAATTGCAGAAATGTGGGATTATTTAGATTTTTTAAAAATGAGTCCTGGTATATTTTTATTAAGAAATTATATTAATTTTCAAGACTATGACTTTTAAAACATTTTTTTTTCATAAAATATGGTATAATCTCACCGTAAAATGTTCAGTTTTTTTACATCCTATATATTTTTTGATGATGCATCATCTTCCAGTGTGTATTACACATTCAGTAATACATGCACAACACATTAACCTGTCTGTCACGAGAGGACCCAAATTTGGGTCCTCTCGTGACAGGGGTGTCAAACTCCAGTCCTCAAGGGCCGCTGTCCTGCAACTTTTAGATGTGCCTCTGCTGCACCACACCTGAAAAGAATAATTAGGTCATTAGCAAGGCTCAGGAGAACCGATCTACACAGGGAGGAGGTAATTAAGCTATTTCATTCCACAGTTTTTTACCGGTGGCACATCTAAACACTGCAGGACAGCGGCCCTTGAGGACTGGAGTTTGACACCCCTGTCATTGTGAATGACAACCTGAGACCAACAGGTTAAAGAAAGATGTAGGTTCTTTCAAGACCTCTAAATATTTTCCATAAAAAAAACATGAAAAAAAAAAAAGTTCTATAGAATGATGTAAAACTACCCGACAGTTTCAGTGATTCTTTCTCCAAGCTTCCAGAGAGCATGAAGGGTCCAAATCCCTCCACAGACATCGATCACACACATTCCCCTTCCTTTCATGCAGGGGGGATCGTGAAACAGGCTAATGTTCTGCAGCAGCTCCCTCACAAAACCCCTTTCAGTCCACATGAGACTAGCCTTGGATCCATGTTTTCTCCACCTTTAAGCCGCCTGTCTGCCTGCTGGTACAAGTCCAGTCTGAAACAGCACATAGGCTGTTGTGTGAACGGCCCAGAAACGCATCAAATTAGTGTTCCTGTTTGCCCAGCACAACAGGTGCTCCGGCCTCCCCTCCCACAACACTAATCATAGTCATTTTTAGCTTTGAACATGCTGTTATTCATAAGACGCGCTTAATGAAAGGAGCTGCGACATCAACATCTGCCAGTCATGCCGTGCGGCCCCGTTTCCTGCTCTGTGTATTGTTTCCATGAAACACTTTGAACTCTAAAAGGTCCAAATAACCAGATCTGAAGCCTTTGACACATTTTTTTTTTATGTCAACATTAATTGCGGCATTATCAGTGAGCATGTTACAGATGAAGAGCAGTCAACAGGAAGAAAGATGGGGGTACTGACAGAGGAAAGAAAACCCAGAGGCTCTTTTGTCACTTTGTGTGAGGCCTCTCTTCTGTATGCATCCCCACTTCCCTCCAGCCTGGACCGCTCCTCATTCTCATGCTGCCATTGCCCCTGGGCTCTTGTGCTGTGGTGCCAGGGGCTTCTGGGGCAATGTGGAATATGGCATGTGCTCAACATGGCCCATTGTCTGCATGCTAATGGCAATGGGGTGAAGCCATCGTACCATTTTTCATTAGCATCACTTAATCCATAAAACATTCCAAGTTGTGAATGCGACCTCGGACTAATTTGATCACATTATGCGCGGCGGTTTGTCGTCAGTCTGCAGGAGGAAGACGCCGAAGGCAAACGAACCTTCTTGGCCCAGGGGGACGTGGGGGAAACTTTGAGTAAAATAGAGGGAGTTACGTGTAATTGACTGACTGGTTGAACTACAAAGAACTGCGGTTTGTTCAGAGCTCCACTCACTTGTGATTCATACCACCACTAGCTGCTGTTCTGAAGTTATCAGGCGAGACTGGGACAGAGCTGAGGTTCTGCTTGCAGACCCCCTTTTCAGAAGGTTAGCCGGCTTTGGCGCATACCTCCTCCATTAACAGGCTCCTTTTTGTAAGCAGGGATTGTGTTCCCTCAGGTCCTGAGAGGGGGCTGGGGGGTGTTATAGAGGAGGGTGAAACCAGCAGCAAGCTAGCACATGTTAGCTGATGGATTTGGCCCTCCCTCTCTTCCACTGACCAGTTAAAGCCGCTCGGCGGCTAATGAAGAGTGACAGCTCTCTGGGATTTGTCGGCTATGCTTCTCATTTCCACCACTTCTTCTCACAAGCAGTGCCTCACGCTTTTCCACCTTCACAATGAAAAAAGGGGGTTTCAGGCTAGTTCAAGGACCCCTGAGACCTCCGCATTTGGAGCAGTGTTTTAATGAGCAGTGGCGCTGGGCTTTATTGAGCCTTTCCCGGGCTCACCGATATCTGCTTTTACCCAGACTGCTTTTAGAGCTCTGTCCAGTCTGTGTATGCATCTTGCTGCTTCTGGAAGTTTCTTTGGCTAATTAAGGTGAGGCAGACTCATCCTCTGAAAAAGCAACTTTCTCCTCCAACAGATACAGACTTATGCTGTGCTGTTGTTACTGCCATGTTTGTTTTCAAAACTAATGGCTCATCCAGCAGACTGTAAAGTGGCAGTGTTATGGAAAATCTGCTTTTTTGAGCTTTACATCATGTTGTGATGTTATCTGCCTATTAAAAACATACCTGGAGTGTTGCTTTGATACTTTTGCACGTTTGAGAAATCCTTTAATCTCCGATGGCAGCCATTCAGCTATGCAAAATGGCTGGATGGACCTAGCTCCACCTTCACAGGCGCAGCTCCTCCTCAGAGTTGCAGTTTCCATGGTTCTGAACTTCTGCCTCACAGAGCAGCCCACCCTATGACTTCCCCAACTTAGTTCCTTAAGACTAGCCACTAGCAGTTAGCAAACACCTGGTGGAATTGGGTACCTGCTGAGCTCATTATAAGAGCTGATTCTCAGTGACAGAGGCCCAATTTCAAGGCGTTAAAGGCATGCATGACTAGTAGAACATAATGACCCAAATATGTTGTAATTTTTCTATTAACTTAAAAATTGCTGCTAGTTGTATGTAAAAATTCAAATACTTAAAAATTGTAATTTCCGTCATTATCTCTTTCACCCATAGTTGTTTTTTTTTTTTTTTTTTCTTTTTTATGTCATGGTTAGATTGGTTCTGTACTGGAATCTACAAAGTAAACACAAGAGGACTAACATTACCTGAGTTGTTTTTGTCATGTCTCATTTGACTGGTGTAAACTTAGACAATGCCACACTGCGCCGCTGTTAACTATAATTAAAAAAAAAAAAAAGAAATAATGAAGTGTCTTCATCGCTTCCCACATGGGAAAAAAAAGAAGAGTGCAAGTTCTGAAGAACTTACGTTTATGCTCTCAACATTTCTTTCCAGAAGACAGTCATTTTTGCAAGCAAGATTGATGAAGGAGCAAATAGATTACCCTCGCAAGCTAAAACCAAATACAGTGCCAAATACAGTGCCAAGTTTTTATCCACAAGTACGTATAACCCAGGCACTGCCTAGTGAGTGAACGATGCCGGAAGAAACATCAGCTCAGCAACGCTGGAAGCTTTTTTAAATTATAACAAAGCTATTGCTACTGCCTCCTGCACTGAATGTGAAACCATAGACCCAACACCCAACTGAAGACAGGACCCTAAACAGCTGTTACCAGACCACAGATTGGATGGGGCACAGAACACGACAACTACTGACACGGTCCGACCAGAGCTACGTGTCATTCATCGTTTCATTTATGAAGCTGAAGGCAGCAGCAGCACAAACACCAGCTTCTGGCAAGCAAAGGAATAATCTGTTTGCCCTCCAGCTCTGAGCACGAGTGAAATTTCAGCATATAATAATGTAAATCCTCCAGTTAAGTAATATCTTTAGGTTTTAAAAATTTTAATTAGAATCTGTTATAGTATTTATGTCCATTATGATTCATAAAAAGTACCACAGTTCCCAGCAGTGGGGATTCTTAGCAGATTTGAAGAGTTAAAGAAACAAGGCAGCTGTAGCGTTAATGCTGTTAAGAGTCTCCACAGCAAAACCCTGGCAGCATGGCAACAAATCACCAAAACGTCTGGAAATGTCTCTGACTTGTCATACATTCTATTATAATGGATGGTCCACAGCTTTTTGAAGACTATCAATGTTTTTGGCTGTGTTTGTCCAGGCTGAAGGGGGTGTAGAGATGAACACTCATCTCATTCAGACTGGATTTTTTTTTCCCAGCTATGCTTCTAGATGAACTACATCTTTGTTAGATGTTTTAGGTAGATGCTTGACAAGGTGCTGCTCCACAAAAAGCATCCTGTACTCTAAACTTCCTTCTTCCATTTACATCTAAAACTTTTCTACTTTCCCTGCGAGGACCCAGGCTGATACACTTTCTTTCTTCAAAGCTGCAATATGTAACTTTTATAAAAAATATTTTTACATACTTGTTAAAACTATCATCATCTCATGACAGTGTAATATGACAGAAAATCGAAGAGAAGGTCAATCTACTCCACCTCCTCTGTAAGCTACCATTGCCGTCTGAAGAAATGATCCACCCCCAACCAAAAACATCCAATCAGAGCCAAGAGGAGGGGCTTATCACTGTCAGTCATCCTCATGTACTTCCTGCTAAATGTGCTAAGGGAGGAGAAACAACTTACCATTACAGGGAAGATATTATTGGTGGCTGTGCAAACTATAGTTAGCATTCACGACAGGTTCATGTCAAGAAGAAGCTTTATCATAGCAGAAAGGAAAAAAAGGAAAAGGGGTTTAAATGGGCATGATTGACATCACTACGACTCCTGGCTCTGATTGGTTGTTTCTAGTTAGCACTAGGAGAAGGCATATGTCACAACAGTGACAGTTTCAACATATATGTTAAAAAATATATATTTTTTATAAAAGTTACATACTGCAGTTTTAAAGGGTCTTTATGTGTCCAACTACACTTTTTTGTAGACACATCTGGAAAACTGACTGTTTCTAAATGTCACATAGAGACTGAACCGGATGTGCAGGCTCTACAAGTCTCCAGCATCACTCCAGAGAGTTTTGTGCTGGCCTGGATGGCCGAGGAGGATGCCTTTGACACGTTTGTCCTGATGCTCAGCGAGGTCAAAGACCCAGGCCAACCAAGAGAGGTGGTGCTGGGCGGCGAGGAGAGAAATGTCACTATGAGCGATCTCACAGAGGACACAGAATACACCGTTGAGATCTTTGGGCTCATTTTGGGAAGACGCTCCAAGTCTGTAAGAGAGGGGGTGAGAACAGGTACATGGTAACCGGGTGGAAGCAAGAAGCTCTGCTGACATACTGGGGCTCTGGAAGTGTCTCGTCAACATGTATTTCATATGAAATGGTGTCTTGTCCTCCTAGCTTTTTCCATGACAGCATGAAATGTGTTCTAATAACTGAGCGTAATACCAAGTGTTGTCTTTGTATACTAATCTGGTACTCTGATTTTAAGGTTTCATTATGGTATGAAAGCTGGTTTGGTCTTTAATTATATTTCTGAACAGAAGCTTACACTTAGAACATTAAATTAGTTTAAGGATTTTAAGGAAGCATTTGAACAAGTTTTTACTTTTCAGCATTACTGACACAAACAGCTACTTCAGTTTTTACCTTTTATGGGGAATCTATAAAAGGTTATTATTTTATTTTCTTTTTATTATTATTAACCCATGTTTGAAGGAGTTAAGGTAAAGTTTTTATACTTGAAAGGATTGAAACAACTATAGTTCCTGGTGTTGGTGTTACTGAAGAACTGCCTTTAAATTCCTCTACTTCCCGTTGTATCAGCAGCTAGATGTTGATACCTGAACTCAGATGTTCTGACAGAATAATGATCTTTTGCACCCGGGTCTGTGCCAGGAAACCAACTAACATTTCTCTCTAACATTTCTCAGAAGAGCCTTGGTCAGATATCTAAACAGAATCATGTCAGAACTTTGTTGATCTGCAACTTAAAAAAAATGCATGCAAATAATAATAATAATAATAATAATAATAATAATAATAATGATGCATTTTATTTGTAGGTGCCTTTCTGGACACCCAAGGTCACCTTGACATAAAAGCAAGCAGATTATAAAATACATACCGGTAATAAAAAAAAATAAAATAAAAATAGTGGAAATCTATGAATTTTGACCTCTGTGTATTGTGGGAAAATCCATATTAATTTCAAAAGTATGCACCCAATTGTTGTTTTTAAAAATTCACTTGTGTTTTGCTGTATAACAAACATTCTGAGAAAGATTAAATTCTTAAAGGGCCCAATAGTCTGTATTGTTTAGACCTGTTGTTAATCAGGATTATTACTACACCAGCTCTAACTAGTTGTGTAAAGGAACATTTAGTTGCTCCTCCCATTGTGTGTTCTCTCCTCATCTTCCCAAATGTCGTCTTTATCTACCTGGCCCCTGTGTTGTTGCCTGCTTTTCTAAAGGAGCCGACGGTGGTGACGGTTGTTGGGTGGGTGATTAGTTGTCCATGTCACATAAAAGGCTTGTCTGTCCTTGTGTCCCCTGTCCTCCCTGAGGGCAAGGCTTTGCTCTTGGGTTTGCGTGGTGCATGTTTCACTTTTTGTGTGTTCCATGAAATGAGGCCAAGTTAATCTCTTCAGGTCTGTCACGCGAGATACTGTGGCTCATCGCTAACTGCGAGGGTCTCTCTCTGCGAGTCGGAACCTCCCCAGGTCTCCTTTGTCTGTCTCTGGAACTCTCTCTTGCTCCATTTGTGTAAAATGACTTGCCTTCCTTTGGAGGATCTGCAGAGGCTACAATCACTGAATTTATGTGTCGTCTCCTTTCTGCTGCTTCAGTTTGTTGCAAATATTAACACCTCAAACATTACATTCCTCAGCATTCAGAGAACATATTGACTAAATCATCTGTTTTTCTTGTCATTGCTCCCGTTTGTGCGTTTCTGTCCCATCTTTGCCAGACCTGGGCTCACCAAAGGGCATCCGCTTCTCTGGAGTGACCGACACATCAGCCACCGTTCACTGGCTGACTCCAAGAGCTCGGGTGGACAACTACCAGGTCACCTACATGCCTGCCCATGGAGGTTAATACCGCTGCTACATTACCCGTGGTTTCACACTTAATTGTTATTGATAGTTTATTTTTTAAAGAGGTATTGAGATCTTAAAAATCAGTTTTAAAATTAATACTGTTACAGTTTGATAAGAGCTTAGTTGGTTTTCTAAATCATCAGTGATTTTCTTGCCAGACTTGAACGCACACACACCAACATCATTGCCTCAGAAAGTGGCTTGATGCTGCCCCCTGCTGACCACTTGATATAAAAAGTCGACATGAAATAAATGATTATATATAGATTAGACAGATAGATAGATAAATAGATAGATAGATAGATAGATAGATTTGTTGGTCACTTTAAGAGAGAAATCCATCTTTTTCTGCATGACTTTAATATATAAAATGCATTAGTAAATAGAGATTTCTTTTAAATGGCTTGAACTCCCAGGTGTTGCGAAGACGCTGACGGTGGACGGCTCGCAGTCGCTCACCGTGCTGCCGAACCTGACGCCTGGGGTCACCTATGAGGTCACCATCGTTGCCGTGAAGGAGCAGAGGGAGAGTGAGCCTGGATCTGACAGCGTCACCACAGGTTAGCTACATGGAGCTTCACATCAGATTCAGTGTTAACACAGAACTTCACTGTTTCATTACACTGTGTTGACAGTAATTGCTCAAGTTCTTGCCAGTCTAAAGGGACAGAATGAAACGCTTTACAGCTCGTATTTGTGACAGTGCAGACAAAAGCCTCCTGGGTTTTAGTTGGATCAACCTCAGTGTTATTTTATGCTTACAGTGTGTGTGTGTGTGTGTGTGTTACAGCTCTGGATAAGCCCCGTGGACTGACCGCAGTCAACATCACAGACACTGAGGCCCTGCTGCTGTGGCAACCTGCCATTGCAACTGTAGAAGGTTATGTCATCACATATAGCGCAGATTCTGGTACGTACACATCCAAAACCTAACCTCTAATCCTGACTGATGGTGATCCATTCTGTCATATTAGTTTGTGGCCTTGATTTATCTGCCCACGTTTTGAGAAACGACACCGCTTTGTCAGTGGGATTCAGATCCAGGCGGCTTATTAATTTCTGAGTCGTTTTCTGATCAGTTTTCCACTTGTGAAAAATCCAAGTTGCAGTAAGTTGATGTTTTGATCCCTGTTCTGACTCAGTGATCTTGGGCAGACCCATGCTGCAGTAGAAGCAACCCCATCCCTGAGTTGGTTTAAAATGCTTTACGTTGACCATGGTTTTGAGAAAAGAACTTTTAACAGCGCCTATTCCTGTAGAAGTACAAGCTGAAGTCTTTTCATTATGGTATAACGTTATACCATAATGCACACCTTATGTTATATAGTACTAGTCTTTTAAAACTACAATATGTAAGTTTTATGAGAAATATGTTTCTTATTTTTTTTTTACATATTTGTTAAAGTTATCACCATGTTGTGATAGTTTACTATAAGACAGATAATCTGTAAAAAGATCGATCTCCTCTACTTTCTCTCTGAGTTCCTAATGCGCTCTTACCAAAAACAACCAATCAGAGATAAGAGAAGGGGCTTAGTGCTGTCAATCATCCTCAAGAACCCACTGCTAAAAATGCTAATGGTAGAGAATCAGCTTATCGTTAAAGGAAAACTGTTCAGTTTTCCTTTAACAGAATCATATGATATGCTGCTATCTGCAGCATATCATATGATGCTTGATATATTTTCACTGATTATCTGTCTTGTAATGTACTGTCACAATATAGTGACAGATTTAACACATATGTAAAAAAAAATCACATAAAAGTTCCATACTGCAGCTTTAAAGTGTATGTGGGGAGAAGCTGATGATGTTCAGATCCCTAAAACAAATCATGAACTCTAACCTCTGCAGGGCCATGTTGCCATATTGCAGCTGAAGTCCCCCACTGAGTGTTAACACTAGAAAGTTTAGGTGTTTTATTGAGAAACTGAATCTTTCCTTCGTCTTCATTTACCGTTTTATGTTTTTTTTTTTTTGTTTTTTACCTGAGCTTAACATTGGAGACCCAACTTCAATTAACTTCACTTTAAACTCAGTTCACTGGTAACAGAATTACAGGAGTGCTTGGATCTCCTACACATCCATGTCCTTGTGCTTGGTGAAAGCCTGTCTCTCTGTGTGTCTCGCAGTGACTCCAGTGATGGAGCGTGTGTCTGGAAACGTGGTGGAGTTTGAGATGAGCTCGCTGAAGCCAGCTACGCTCTACACTGTGAAGGTCTACGCGGTGAGGGACTTGGCCAAGAGTGCAGCCACCACAACAGAGTTCACCACAGGTCAGTGAGACGTCCAGCCTCACATGAAGACAAAGACAGTCTGCTTCCTGTTGACCTCAGTTCATTCATAAAATTCATTCTCTAGTGTCTTGCCAAAGTATTCACACCCCTTGAACTTGTCTGATATTGTCATGTTTCTAAAGTAGTGATCTAAGTCATTTAAGCCCCTGTTTTAGGAAGGTGACAATATATTTTTTGATTTCAAAACCATAAACTTTAAAATATGTGCTTAGTATTTGATATGATTGACCAACACAAAGTATTGCATAACTGTGATGAGTAAAGAAACTGATGCATGACTTTCAAATCCAGTCCAGCCAGTTGCTTTTAGAAGACATTTCCATGTGCTGGATTTAATCAGGAAATAAGTCTTTATTTTTTTGAATTTCTCTCTTTCTTTCTATATATCTGTTTCTCTCTCGCTACTGTTGCTGTCTGAAAAATTTTAATGCTCCCAACCAAAAGCCACCAATCAGAGCCAGGAGGAGGGGCTTAGTATCATCAGTCAATCTCATGTACTCAGTGCTCAATGTGCAAATGGTAGAGAAACAAGTTACCGTTACAAGAAAACCGTTTATCCACTGTCATCGGTGGCCATGCTAACTGGCAGTAGCATTCACAAACAAGCTCTGATAGCTGCAGCGTTTCAGCGAGCAACATGGTATGGAGGGAGGGACAGCAGCGCCACACAGAGGGTGATTGACAGCACTAAGATCCACCTCCTGGCTATGATTGGTTGGTGTATTTCTGTAAAAGCCTGTAGGTCCACTGAGAGACGGCAGAAGAATTCGATTTTTCACAGATTGTCGCATCCTATTCTGTTAAAACATAGTGACCGTTATAACAAATATGTAAAAAAAAATTTTGCATAGGAGTCACATACTGAAGCTTTAATTTACTTGAAACTCCATTTGTGACATCTATAAATAACATGTAGCTGTAACGTACTGACACTGAGCTGACGGTAGAGTCTGCAGCATCCTAACACCAACAGGCCGCTCTGGCTTCCTGCTTCGTCTCCAGATGTAGACGCTCCTCAGGACCTGGCAGCTACCAACATCCAGACGGAAAGCGCCATGCTCACCTGGAAGCCTCCCCGGGCCGACATCAGTGGTTACCTCCTCCACTTTGAGTCTGCTGTCGGCACCATCCACGTGAGTTCACAGGAGAACTCCACACAAGTTGGCTTGTTCAGGTGATGTACGGCTGTCTGTGAGGGGAATCAAATGTACGAGCGAGTCTCTCTTCCCTCAGGAGGTGGTCCTGAGCCCCACCGCTGTGTCGTACAACATGGCCGACCTCAGCGCATCAACAGAATATTCAGTGAAGCTGGAAGCTCTCGCTGGTCCCAAGAGGAGCCAAGTCATCTCTACCGTCTTCACCACCAGTGAGTACAGCCCTCTGTGTGTCGAAGCAAGTACACACATATGTACATATAAAACTAAGAAAGTTTAAAAAGTAAGACACTAAAGTGTACAAACACAACATTAAATATAAGTTTGTACCTGCTTATTTAGCTTATAAACTAAATATTTGATTCAGACTAAAACATTTAGTTGGGAACTAAATATTGAGACTGTTATTTAAATATTTATGAAAGTGAAATATTTAGTTTCCAAACTAAATATTTTGTTTAAAAACTAAGTACTTAGCTTGACAATCAAATATTTAATTTGGAACTCTGACATTTCTAAATAAGATGAAAACATGACTGGAAAATGAACATCCATACTTTTTCTCTATCACAGGCTAAGTAATGTAAATTATTGCTGTTATTTTTTTACTGTGTAACTTTATAAATGACTCTCTCTATATAAGGAATGAATTTGTCATGTGTTAATATTGCATGGTTCTATAATGACAATCAAGATTATTATTATTGTTATTATTATTATTATTGCTGTGAAGCAGTCTTGCTGTAAACAGAGGCTTTTGTCACTAGACCACCTGCCTGATGCAGACTGAAACACAACAACCTTAATGGCCTCTGCATTAGTATGTGATGTGTGTGTCCATGTAGCCGGTGTGCTGTACAGACACCCCAGAGACTGCTCACAGGCCCTGCTGAACGGCGACACCTCATCAGGCATGCACACCATCTACCTGGGTGGAGACGAGAACCAACCGCTGCAAGTCTACTGCGACATGAGCACCGATGGAGGCGGATGGATCGTAAGTTTATCATCATTCTGGACACGTAATGTTCTCCAATAAAATAGTAGTATTTAAAAGTCTTGAGTCATCTATATCACAACCAGTTTGTCTAATAACTTAAAGTACCGTATTTTCCGCACTATAAGACGCACCTAAAAACCTTCAATTTCCTCAAAAGCCGACA